ACTGTGTATTGAACTTGGGTCTTGTGTACAGATAGGAAGAGGTTTAAAAAGACATTCACATTTCAGGGTAGAACTACTTGGTTGAGGGTGCTATTTGCTAAGTTGGTGAACACTGGAAGAGGGTTTCTGTGAAAAGCTCAGTGTTTGCATGTATGGTGCCTGTAGGTTGGCCAGGTGGAGACTCTGCAAAGCAGATGGATACAACTAGAGCTCAGGAGAGAGATCTCAGCTAACGTAGAGATTTAGGAAAAATCAGCATTTATTGCTGGCTATTAAAGCCATCCAGTGGACAAGGCTGAGGAGAAAGTGTATAGTGTCCTCAAACTTCAGCCTGTATCAGTATTAACCTGGGGACCTTAGTTTAGATTTTATCTCCTTAATTAATGTCTTTCTACTCTGTCTTCTCCTCATTGCTGAACGTCAACATTGCTGCCATGGTTGGGGTCCCAATCATCTCTCACTACGTTTCAACCACAGCTTTCAAACTCATACTCTAGTCTCCTCTCTCTAATGTTACTTCTGGAAATGACAACAAATCTCATCGAATTATTCTTCCGCTTAAAACTCTTCACTAATTCCCAATAATCCTCAGGTTGAAGCCACTGCGTAGCAACATTTGCCAGGCTGTCAGCTCTGACCCCTTCACCATCGACCAACTGAACTTTTTGAGTTTTTCAAAGACACTTGCTCTATCTCTTGCCTTTGAACATGTTTTGCCTCCACCTTGAAGCTTCTTTTAGCGCCTTCCCCCCCACCCCACCCCTTGCTAATTCCTGCACGCACTTCGGGTCTCAGAAGCTTTTCCCGACTATCGGTTACACCTGCGTCACGGATCTCCCCTAGGAACCCACAGCCCCACAGTTCGCCATTAGTTTGCTCCTGGCTTCTCATTGGGCTTGAAGCCTACAAAGTGGATGAAGACGTGTTTAAGGCTTACAGCCGGCGCCACAGGCATGATGGAAAAAATATATTCGCAGAACCAGTGAGAAGGGTGGGACGGACAGCCTCACAGCTCCCCTCTCGCCCAGGCGCGGCCTGCAAAGTCAGGGAGGCAAAGAGGCAAGGTGGACGTTACAGGAGAAGAAAATCTGAGACAGACAAGAAAAAAAGGAGGAGGGACGGAGAACGGCACTCACTGTGGCAAGAGCCTCAGCCCGGGAGGCAGCCATGACGCACGGAGACTCCGCCCCTGGAAAGCGCGCCGAGAGCTCGGGGGAGCGCGGGTCGCTGACGTCACCGGCGGGCCGCCCTGGCTCCACCTCCAACTCCCCCCACCCCATTCAGCATCTTTAGACCTCCTTCCTGCACTCCCACCTCTGTCCCCGCGACTGGCACTCCAAACCCCTTATCTAGTACATCCTGTCTGGCATCTCTGAGACGGGGGGTGGGGGTGGGGGGGGTGGCTCAGGAGCTCAAACACAGCCGGCCTGGCTGGTAACTCCGAACCATCTTTCCATCTTCCTGATCCTGCCAAGCAGAGAGAAGCGTTTCCTCCTGCATGCAGCCAAAGCACATCCTTCATACTTGGGTTATGGCCTTAACTCAGCGCTGTAATCATCTGTGTCCCCCACTTGACTGTGAATACCTAGACACTTTGTCCTATCCTATTTTTCTTTGTATTTTGATGCCTAGAACAGTGCTTGTCGTTAAATAAGAACCTGATATATATTTATGGATCTACTAATGAAAGCCTTTGCTCTTCCTAATTTAGTCAAGCAGCCAATCAATCCATGGCTTAATAGGCAGTGAGAGCACAGAATTCATGCAACTATGTGTCAGGCACTGTTCTAGGCTAGGCTAGAATTGAAAGAGATGAAGGACACATATGATGGGGATCAAAGAGAAAGAATGGACAGGTGAAACAACAAACACAGAGGCCCTGTGGTGGGAAGAAATGCAAGAAGTTGATGAGGCTGGAGGGAAGGAGAGGAAATTAAAGAGACAAAGTGAAAGAGGAGCACTTAAGGCCATTGTACATTTAGTACATTTATAGCAGCCTCAAATCATTTTTGGAGCAAGATAGAATAAACATGGATTATAATATAATAAGGATAAACATTTTAGATAATAAGAATGCTTGAGTCATAACAGGAAAATCAAGACTAATTCTACAAGTTATGATATCCCCTAGTTCAACTTCACTTGATGCAAGGTCTCTGTTCCTTACAGGAGCTAGTTAAGTACTGTGGTGCCAATTTATTTATAAGGCAAATCTTTGTTTGCAATCATTTCTCATTATTACAACAGAGATGTGTTCCTTCCCTTTTCACCAAAGCAACAGCAAACAAGAGATCCCCCAAAGAAGCTGAAACCTCTCTCATTCCACTCCAGCCACACTGGCTCCCTTATTAGAACACCAGTCTGAGCCTAGTCAAACTCCCAAACCTAATGATTCCTTTTACATTCAATATTTCTCAGCTCTAGAAGACCCCCCTCCATTTACCAAGTCCATGAAGATGTGCCCTGTGTCCTGGGATTTACTTTTGACAGTTTGTAGGAGGGAGAGTTGAGTTTAGGCTCCAGTGATCAGAGAAAGTTGAACTGGACCCACCACCACCTGGTGTGACTAAATGTCAGATTCACAGCTTAATCTGGTGGCAGCATGTAGGGCCAAATGAGAGGGCCATAAGTTCTGTCACAGAAGAAGGGAAGTATGGACAATTGGGAGCTGTCTCAGATCCAGTGATTTTGAACAGGCTGTGCTTGTTCAGGGGGCAGCTGGAGTAAGTGACGAAAGTCAGGAGAAAGATCAGGGCCAAACTGATGAATCTAAAAGTCACTATATGAACGTGAAAACTGAAATGTTATAGAGCTAAAATGTAGAGGAGCCAGGACCAGAAAGATAGAGCTGAGCAGACTAAGGCTCCCTTAAGGAGCTGGAAGCAGGTATGAGATGGAGCCAGGAATGCTTGGAGGGAAAGAAACCCAGGAGTAGTCAGATGCCAAGAATCAACAAGTGGCCTCTGTCAGAAGTGAGCCAGAGAGTACAGTCTGGAATCTTACCTACCAAACAAGAAATAACTGTTATGTCTGGGGCAGGGTTGGAATTAGGGTGAGGCAAGTGAGGCATCTAAAATTTATTAAATGTAGCATCCTAAGTGTTGTACTTGCCTTACCCTAGTCTTGGCCCTGTACTGGGGAGAATGGAATGGGAATAGGAAGAATGAGAATAAAGATTTTCACTTTTTCCTCCAAACATTCCTGTGTTGCCTGACTCTTTTAAAAAGACCATTAGGCTGACTATAGGAAACAGTATTGAGATTCCTTTAAAAACTAAAAGTAGGCTTACCATATGATCCAGCAAGCCTACTCCTGGGCATATATCTGGAGAAAACTTCAATTCAAAAAGATACATGCACTCCAATGTTCATAGCATCATTATTTACAATAACCAAGGCATGGGAGCAAACTAACTGTCCATAAACAGATGACTGGATAAAGACGATGTGGTATATATAGTATATATATACTATATATACACAAGGGAATACTACTTAGCCATGAAAAAGAATGCAATAATGCCATTTACAGCGACATGGATGGACCTACATATTATCACACTAAATAAAATAAGTTTGAGAGAGAATGACAAATATCATATATCACTTATATGTGGAATCTAAAAAAATTACACAAATGAACTTATTTACAAGACAGAAAGAAACTCACAGACATAGAAAACAAACTTACGGTTACCAAAGGAGAAAGAGGAGGAGGGATAAATCGGTAGTTTGGGATTAGCAGATACACACTACTATATATAAAATAGATAAGAAACAAGGTCCTACTGTATAGCAGGGGGAAATATATTCAATAACTTGTAATAACCTATAATGAAAAAGAATATATATATATACACACACATACATATAACTGAATCACTATGCTGTATACCAGAAACTAATACAGCACTGTAAATCAACTATAATTCAGTTTAAAAAAAATAAATAAAGACCATTGGGCTGGGTACTGTGTTTGCCCTGGTACACTACTCCAGCATACTTGCCCTCAGGCTTCTGGTTAGCTAACGGGAGACAGACATTTGGTATGGGACACAGGATAGGAGGAGAGAGTATCCTGTGTTTATTCCATTTCTCCCTCAACACTGTGCTTGTGGCAGTGGCTTCCTTTGTCCTGTTGAATGCCCTTCTTTCATGACTCCACTTCTCTCCCAGCTAATAACACCATTCCTCCCTTTGTCCCTTTGAGCCTGGAGGTGGTAACCACTTTCTGCTCTTGCCAGGCTCTGGGCAGCTCACAGTATTTTGCTGGTTCCCTTAATCCAGCCCATGTCTCTTTAAGTAGACTACTAAATTCTTATTGATTACACCTTTTTGAGTGTACCATCTGTTTTCTGAAAGGATCCTAATACAGTCATATAGGTATGTATTATGAGGGTTTTTAAAATGTGCAAAAAACAAGTACATAGGTAGAAAGTGCTAAGTGTTTGCATTACGAAACTAAGGTATGAATCACTGCAATATGCCTCAGCTTCCAAATCTGTCAAATAGGGATTTTGTGAAGATCGACCGAGATTATGTGAAGTGCTTTAATGGGTGCCTAATAAATGCTTCCAATCATTATTATTGTTACTGTAACTAGCCAGAATATGGGAGTTAAAAATATATGCCTCCCACTCTTCTAAGAATTAAACAAATCAGCTCGTTCAGAAAAGACAAAAGTGAAAGAAAGCAAGCCAAGGGAGCAGGGGGAGGAAACTTGAGTCCTGGTTCCGTTTCCTGCATTCAAAGTATGTCTCCGTCACAGTTTGCACAGGGACAAGAGAAGAGGGGACATGGAACCGACTGTATCTTCACAAACGTTAACTCAAGAGAGATTCGTGGGACAAACCCTCTGCGGGGAGAAGCTTCTCTAGGAATTGAAGTAAGAGCGTGGCTGCAGCCGGGGCCGGCCGGGAGGGGCGCTCTTAGGCTCCGCCTCTGCTCGCGGCGCGCGCGGATGACGTTGCTCTGCGCGCCCGGTTCGAGGAGCTCAGGGACTGCAGGAGCAGCTACCACGTGCGTATGGCCACCGCGCGCCCGCCCTGCCACCCCCGCATGCAGCAACCGGTAGCCACCCACCCCACGCCTGATCCAGGCCGCTGCAGGATCCCCACCGGGCTACTGCGCCTAGCGGGGGCCTGCGTGCCCGCCTTAGTGCAGGCGCCCTTTCCCGTTTCTTGGACGCCCGGCAGGGAGACTCCACGTAAACTCAGGCCCTCTCTAACAATTCAACCAACAAAGAAAAATCCTTTGACCGCCTACTTTTTTTTTTTTACCTTTGGCCGCCGATTTTATGTCAGGCACCATGCTAGTCGTTGGGGAGACAGCCCTGATGTAGACAGCCTTGTCTCTGTGCTCTTAGAGCTTCTATTTTACTGTGAATGATAGACGAAAATCAGCTGGTTTAATACAGTGATTTATGGATATGATAATTCCTATGAAGGAATTATGGTATGGAGCACGACTGAGGCGTCTAACTTTAAAAAGGGTGATAAACACGGAGCAGGAATCACTGAGATAGGAATCAAGATCTGGCAGGAGCACTGATTGCTGAAACTAGCCTTGGCCTGGTGAATGATGGGGATCGAGAATTCAGTCAGTCAGTCACCAGTTTTTAGATTTTTGTTTTTTAATCCCCAGGTATTGTTCTAAACCTTGGTAATCCAGTGGAGGTACATTCATTAGTACATTCATGCCCCCATGGAGATTTTGTTCCAGTGGGAAAGGAAGAGCTAAAAATAAATTAAAATGTCAGCGGTAAATACTATATAGAAAGTTAAAATAAGGCCATCTTATCATGGCTCCTTCAGAACAGTAGATCAAGGAAGTCCTTTTCAAGAAGGTGAGTTTCACCTGAAGTCCAAATAACAAGAAAGAGCTAGTCATGCAAAGATCAGGGTGAGAAAAATGCCTTTTAGAACTGAGCTTGGCAAGTTAGAATAATAGAAAAGAAGCCAGTGTGGTTGATGCATCATGGGTGAGAAGGAGAGTGGTGTGAGATAGTGTTGGAGATGTAGGCAATGGCCAGACCACATAAGCCAGGACATGAGTTAGAATGTTAGACCATGTGTGAGGAGAAGCCATGATCTCATTTATGCTAACTTGTGGCAGGTGGATTGTGATTGGGGCAGGAGTTGGGTGCATTAATCCAAGTGAGTACTGGTGTAGCAGAGTTGAAAGCATGTGGACAGGTTTGGGATACACTTGGAAATAGATTAACTGGTGGATCGGGTATAGAGGGGGCTCAGGGAAGGAAGAATTAAGGTTGACTACTGTGTTTTTGACTTGAGCAACAGATTGAATGATGGTGGTGGTGTTAACTGAGATAGGGAAGATGGGAACAGCAGTTCTGGAGAAATGATAAATCACAATTTCTCTTTTTGTCAGAACAGGCTATCCTCTGTGTTTATGAGACACATAATGTGTGGCGATGTCACCTAAGCATTTGAATGTACTAGTTTGGAGTCTCGGAGAGTCAGAGTTAAATAAAGTTATGGAATCTGTTGGCAGATATTAAATCATATGAAATTGCCATTTTGGTCAGAAATGGTTGAATGCTGGTAATTTCATTGGTTCAGTCTAATAGATGATATTTAAAGCTACTGAATGAGGTTGCTTAAGAAGAGCATGTAGAGGGATGAAGAACCAAGGGCAGAGCCTTGGGCACTCAACATTTAGAGGTCAAGCAGAAGAGTAGGAGCCAGCACAGGTGACTGAGAAGGAGCAACCAGAACAGAAGGTAGAAGAATATCAGGAGAGTGGTCATGAAGCCAAGAAAGGACAGTGTTTCAAGAAGTAGGGAATGAATAAGTCAAATGCTGCCTAGAGGTTGAATAAGGTAAAGAAGTTATTGAGCTCTAGATTCACAACTTTGTAATCTTTGGTGACCTTGACAGAATAATCAGATTCAGCCTTGAGTAAATTAGATTTGAGATGCCTATGAGTTGTCCAAGTAAAGAAGTAAGGCAATGACCTTCCTTTTCTCCCATTTCCTTGGGAAGAGGCCATGTATGCCTGGGAGTCCCATGTGTATCATCAAAGCTGAATGAGTGGTACGGATCAGAAGCCCTCAGCTCTGCTAGGAGGGAGATGTCCCTGAACACTGGGGCAGCTGGGGGGCCTCCCAGAGTTGGTGAGATCTGTATTCACCTTGGGAATGCTTCAGGTAGAATGGGGATAGGTATAGGCATTCTAGGATAGGGGCAAAGGAATGGAGAGGCGACCAGGCAGGGTTTAGTGAGTAAAGCCAGGGTCCTGATCAGAAGGAGTGGGATCACAAGTTGAAAAGTAGCTGGGGAGAGATGTGGAGGGCCTTTGAGTGTCAGGCTAAAGCCTTTGGATTTACCTTGAGCAGGGACATAATATTTCAAAACTGAAGTAGAGGAACTATCATTTGACTTCATCAACCAGCCCAATCCAGCTCATCCTTCAGGTTTGTGCTTAAATGTCATTTTCCCCAGGAAGTCTTTCCCTGTTCCAAAGTGCTAGGTTGGTACCCACAGTCCCTTGACCTTGGTCACAATGGACTGGAAATGTCTGGGTACTTGGCTGTCTTCCTCAATAAAATGTAAGTTCTACGAGGGCAGAAATGATTTTCATCTTGTTCACAGCTTTGTTCCTAAGATCTTGCCTGGGGCCCAGCAAAGTGTGGTGCACAAGGAACACATGTCAAGGATATACATGTATACCCCAATCCCACGTTACTAAAGCCCACATTTTGCAGGATTGGCTAAAACCCCCAAGGTTACATTTTTCAGGTTACCTTGTATCCCTGAATGCCCCCACTCCTTTCCCCCACCCCATCCCTAATGCCTCCAAAGCCTCAGCTGGCCTTGAAACTTGAAATCGGTTCAACAGATAGGCTCTAGCTAATGTTATTTTTTAGGAACCCAACTCATCTCTCCAGCAACAGTCACCTGCAGAGATGTCCTCAGTCCTGCACTTCTATGTCCGTCCCTCTGGCCATGAGGGAGCAGCCTGTGGGTACACTCAGAGGAAGCTGCAAGAGAAACTGCCAGAGCTGCAGGATATCAAGACCGAGCTGTGCTACAATGTGAACTGGACAGGTTGGGCCAAGTATTAGATTCTTGGGAGTGGTACCGAGTACCAGGGGCAGTTTCTCAAGGTGTCCTTGCTCTGTCTCCCTGCAGTTAATTCTTCCCCGAGTGCTGAGGAACTGAAGAAGTTGACGTGGCTGTTTGGCTGCCCCTTGCTACTGGACGATGTCGCTCAGGAGTCCTGGCTCCTTCCCGGCTCCAGTGACCTGCTGTTGGAGGTCGGGCCCAGGCAAGTGTCTCAGCCTTGGGCAACTTGTTCCGTGGTCCAGAGCACATCAGCTCTTCCAAACACACTGCCCACCCCTTCCACTTTCATTCCTCTTCCTCCTTTTGTGATCCTTGGGAAATTTGTTTGCCCTTTACTCCATCCCACCCCCTGCCTGGAAAGTTCTGCACATGCCTTCCCCATGTGGGAAGATATCTTTGAAGAGTGAGCCAGCTCCCAGGCACATTCTGGAAATATAACAGGTTGCATTCTGAGTTGAAATTGAAGCAGTCTGATGCTCCAAGGACAGTTATAATTTGCTTTAAACCACCTTTGGAAGCAGGTTTCTTGGTGCCCAGGTCTGAGGCTGGAGGCCAATGGTAGGGTGAGTGGATAGAGGTGGGAGACTGGCTGGACAGCAGCAGGCAGGATCCACCTTCTCAGCTGGGGCTCTTAGGCCCTAACCATCTGGCCCACTCCTCAGGCTGAACTTCTCCACCCCGACCTCCACCAACATCGTGTCAGTGTGCCAGGCTGCGGGGCTGGGGGCTGTGGACCGCGTGGAGAGGACCCGGCGCTACCTGCTCTCGGTGAGGCGGTAGGCATCCAGAGGGGGATCAGGAGGAGGAGGTGGGCCAGAGATAAGAGACTGGGTCCTAAACTCTGGAGAAATGATGTAACAAGCAGGAGGAGGAGTTCTGGTTTCAGGCCTGCCCTGTTTGCACGTTGTTCACTGCCTGAGGTCACCTGGTCGAGGAGTGAATAGGACAGACCCAGCCTGTACTCTAGTCTGTGCATGCTGACAGGGACTCCTGCCTGGAAGGGGTATCTTTTTCTAATCTGAGCAAAAGTGCCATGTAGGCTGGCAGTGGGCTGGCCCTGTATGGCTTGGAGGACCAAAGGTAGACCATTTTGTCCGTGCATCACCTCTGCACCCCTTGTCCTCTGTGTCTCCACCCCTAGTTTGCCCAGCCGCCTTCAGCTGACATGGAGGCCATCGCGTTGGCCACCCTGCATGACCGGATGACGGAGCAGCACTTCCCCCAACCCATCCAGAGCTTCTCCTTTGGCTGCATCAAAGTCCCCCTAGGTGGCCCAATCGACATACTGGCCGAGGGCCGATCTGCCCTGGAGAAAGCCAACCAGGAGCTGGGTGAGCAGGGGTCCCTGGAGGAAGGCCCAGGCTAGGCTGGTAAGGGTGCGGAGTCCAACAGTCAGCTCTTCCGGGGTTTGTCTCCTAGGTCTGGCCCTGGATTCTTGGGACCTGGATTTCTACACCAAGCGCTTCCAGGAGCTGCAGCGGAACCCCAGCATTGTGGAGGTCTTCGACTTGGCTCAGTCCAATAGGTGGGGAGGAATGGGGACGTTCTGATATCTGAGGCCGTGGAGGTTGGAAGGGAAGACAGCAGGGACTCTCCATGGCTCTCTCTTGGCCTCGGGGCCTCCCTGAGTCTGTTTGAGTGCCTGGGCTCCCCGTCTATCCAGTAGTCTGCATTCACATCTTGGTTTTTATCTTCACTTTGGATCTGGACAATCACAATGACAGACTGTTGGAAGATTATGACTTTCTGGAATCTATTTTGACCTGTGAGCTAAGCACCAGTTGGCTGTAGTTATGTTTATACTGGTGAGAAGACATGCCAAGGCCTGAGAAATGACCCGTGTTTCTGCCCTGCCTTCCCCTCCCCGTGACACCCTCTGTAGTGAGCACAGCCGACACTGGTTCTTCAAGGGCCGACTCCACGTGGATGGGCAGGAGCTGGCACACTCTCTGTTTGAGTCCATCATGAGCACCCAGGCATCCTCCAACCCCAACAACATCCTCAAGTTCTGTGACAACAGCAGGTGGGCTGTGCCCTAGGCTGGGGTGACCTCAGAGCCAGGGCACAGGAGGCTCCAGGCTCTGGTAGGGTAAGCACAGATCCCAGGAAGGAAACGGGGTCCAGAACGGATATGTCCACAGTGCAATCCAGGGGAAGGAAGTCCAATTCCTACGGCCTGAGGACCCCACACGGCCAAGCTGCTTTCGGCAACATCAGGGGCTGAGACATGTTGTCTTCACAGCAGAGACTCACAACTTCCCCACAGGTGAGCTGAGTCCCCAGGAGGGACAGGCAGGGTCAGAGTGTAGGACAGGGCAGAGGTCCCAGGCCCGCCGTGGACATCAGGTCGGCTGCATGTCCTTATTTTCAGTGCTGTTGTCAGAGGTGGAATTTGCCTCTTTGGTACCATACGTCTCCCTGCTCTCTTCACAGGAGTAGCCCCCTTCAGCGGTGCAACCACTGGCACAGGGGGCCGGATCCGAGATGTGCAGTGCACGGGCCACGGGGCCCACGTCGTGGCTGGCACTGCTGGCTATTGCTTCGGAAACCTACACATCCCAGGTCCCATCTCTTTCCTCTCTACCCATCTCCCCTCCAGATTCCTTGTCCTGGCAGGGGCCAAACACTTCTCTCTCTTAGGTCAAAGGGAGGACTCTAGAGTAGCTGGCCTTTAGCCAACCATGTCAGGAGGACAGTAGGCCAGGGGCAGACCCAGGCTGCCAGGCTGGCTTTGCAGAACCACAGTTTTCTTTATAAGCTAGTACCTACTCAGCAAGAAAACGTGATGCTGGGTTGAGCTTGTGACCATCAGCTGCCCCCAGAATCCGCTTTCTTAGAAAGCATGAAGAGTTCTAATCCCAAGAGTCAGTGGGAAGGCTGATGTGGGAGGTGGGGAGCAAGACCAATGCTTTATTGCATTTTTTAAATTTGCATTTTATTACATCTTCCTAAAATGGGACTCCCTAAAGTGGAACATTCCACCCGCCCAGGTAGGCCTTCGTGGCTTAGGCTCTTTCTGAAGGACTCTGGCTTCTCTGGCTTTCATCTTTACAGTGTAGCCAAATTTCTCATTCCTGCCCAGGTTACAGCATGCCCTGGGAGGATTCACGCCTCCAGTATCCTGAGAACTTTGCCCGACCCCTGGAGATTGCCATCGAGGCCAGTAACGGGGCTTCCGACTACGGCAACAAGTTTGGAGAACCAGTGCTGGCTGGTGAGGCTGGGGAGCATGGGGGATAATAAACACAGATAATATTCCCAGAGGTGGGGTGAGGTGTGTGACCCAGTGAGTGCTGAGGAGACTGGGTGACTAGACCCTGTCCCCTCTCCCTGTGACATCCATGCTCCAGGCTTTGCCCGCTCCTTGGGCCTCCAGCTCCCAGACGGCCAGCGGCGTGAGTGGATCAAGCCCATCATGTTTAGTGGAGGCATTGGGACCATGGAAGCTGAGCATGTGAGCAAGGAGCCCCCAAAGCCAGGTAAGAGCCTGCCACCTCTCTCCAGATCCAGCCGGCTTCCTCCCTAGCACTTGGCAGCTGCAGGAGGGGAATTTAGAGGACACTTCAGTGGTTTGCTTTTTTATCTCCCAGCTCCTATCTATTCTCAGTATAGATTTTCAAGGCAGGGCAGGGCTTTATGCCAGTGGGGCAGGCTTAGTCTGTGTGGCCTCTTATCTCTTCCCTGTTTGACTTCTGCATGGCAGGGACCCACTCTGCTAAGTCAAGGCAGCCAGTGTTTATCTAGGACCTGAGTTCATACGCAAGCTCAGTTCAGTGGGTCAAACATTTACCGAGCATCCATTGGGTGCTGGGCACCATGCTAGGAGCTGTGGCAGAATCAAGATAAAGGCCAGGTGCCATTTATTGAATGGGTGACCCAGCTACATGGTTCAGAATTTAAAAGGTGAAAAAAGGTTATACAGTGAAAACTCTTCTCTTACCTCCAGCCACCCAATTTCCCTCCTTAGAGATAACCAATGTTAATCAGGTGCTTTTGTACCCTATGTATTTCCTGCATATGTGAACAGACCCATGTGTATATTTGCCTCCTTTTTTTTAAACAAATAGCATATGTGCATATTTTTATAACTGTTTTTTAAAGATGTAATTCATATACTATAAAGTTCACCTTTTTAAAGTGTATGAGTCAGTGGTTTTTAGTGTATTCATGAAATTGTACATCAGTCACCACAAATTCCAGAACATTTTCATCACCCCGAAGAGAAACCCTGTACCTGTGAGCAGTCCCCATCCCCCCTCTCTCAGCCTCTAGCAACCAATAGTCTACTTTCTGTCTCGATGGGTTTGCCTGTTGTAAGTGGAATCACATAATATGTGGCCTTTCACTTAGCATGTCTTCAAGGCTCATTCATCTTATAGTGTATATCAGCACCTTGTTCCTTTTTATGGCTGAATAATATTCCACAATGTAGATGTGTCACATTTTGTTTATTCATTCATCAGTTAATAGACATTTGGGTTGTTTCTGCTTTTCGGCTATTATGAATAATGCTGCTATAAACATTTGTGTACAAGTTTTTCTGCATGCTTATGTTCTTAATTCTCTTGGGTATTTCACTAGGAGTGAATTTGCTGGATCACATGGAAACTGTACTCAACTTTTTAAAAAACTTCCAGACTGTTTTCCAAACCAGCTGCGCCATTTTACATCCCCCTCAGCAGCATATGAGAGTTCCAATTTCTCCAGATTCTTGCCAGTACTTGTTATTATCTGTCTCCTTGATTATAGCCATCAGAGTGGATATGAAGTAGGATCTCACCGTGGTTTGGATTTGCATTTCTTTAATGACTCACAATGTTGAGCATCTTTTCATATGTTTGTTGGCTATTTGTATATCTTCCCTGGAGAAATGTCTCTTTGGTTCCTTTGTCCATTTTTAAATTGGATTATTTGTCTTTTTTTATGGCCTTGTAAGAGTTCTTTGTATATTCCGGGTACTAGCCCCTTATCAGGTAGATACATGATTTGCAAATATTTTCTCTCTGAGTTGTCCTTTTACTTTCTTCATTGTGCCCTCTGAAGCATAAGCATTGTTAATTTTGGTAAAGTAGTTTATCTATTTTTTCTTTGATTGCTTCTGGTTTCAGTGTCATGACTAAGAAACTATTGCCTAAGCCAAGGCCACAAAGATTTACTCGTATGCTTTCTTGTAGTACTGTTATAGCTTTTAGCTCTTACATTTAGGTCTCTGAAGCATTTTTGAATTAATTTTTGTATATGGTGTGGGACAGGGGTCCAACTTCCTTCTTTTACATGTGGATATCCAGTTGTCCTAACAACCCTTTTTGAAAAAACTATTCTTACCCCATTGAATTGTCTTGGGACTCTCGTCAAAAATCAATTGGCCACAAATGTATGGACTCATTTACGGACTCACAGTTCTATTCCAGTGATTATATGTATCTATCCTTATGCTGATACCACACTGTCTTGATTACTGTAGCTTTGTAGTAAGTTTAAAAGCAGAAATATGAGTCCTTCAGTTTTGTTCTTTTTCAAGATTTTTTTTGCTGTTCTAAGTCCCTCGAATTTCTAGACAAATTTTAGGACCAGCTGGTCAATTTCTGTGAAAAAGATAGCTGATTATGTTGACTCTGCAGATCACTTTGGGGGAGAGTATTGCCACTGGAACAATGTTAAGTCTTCCAATCTATAAACGAGATCTCTTTCAGTTTGTTTAAGTCTACTAAGATATTTCATAAGTTTTTATGCATAAGTCTTACATTTCTGTTGTTAAATTTATTTCTAAGTATTTTATTCTTTTTGATGCTGACATAAGTGGGTATGCATACTTCTGTACCTTGCGTTTTGCAACTTAGCAATGTGCTTGGAGATCATTTCTTACCAATGAGATCACATTACTTCACTATATTCGTATGTAGTTCTTCTTTTTGGTGGCTTAGTTTTTCAGTGTATGGCTTATACCATAATTTGTTTAACCAGTTCTCTGTTAGCGTTTAGATTATTTCCCATCTTTGGTAATGCAAATTTAATCCCACACTGTTTAGTTTTGTACATAATGATTTTGTACCTGTGCAAATAAATCTGGAGGGTAAATTCCTCAAAGTGTATTTACCTAGTTAAAAATATGTGCATTTGTAATTTTGGTTGCTCTCCCCTGATAACAGCTTCCCTTGTACTGACATTTCTTCTGGTCACTTCGCCATGTTCTGATTCTGTCCTCCTTCCTCATAGGCATGGATGTTGTGAAGATTGGGGGTCCTGTCTACAGGATTGGAGTTGGGGGCGGAGCTGCTTCATCTGTGCAGGTAAGTGGGAATAGCTCAGATTCAGACTCCATGATATCCGCAGGCCCCATGCCTGGGTGGGGTGTGATCTCCCGGCCCCCCTGAGTGGAGCTATGCCATCTGTTCCTCCAGGTGCAGGGAGACAATGCCAGTGACCTGGACTTTGGGGCTGTGCAGCGGGGAGACCCAGAGATGGAACAGAAGATGAACCGCGTGATCCGGGCTTGTGTAGAGGCCCCTGGGGGGAACCCCATCTGCAGCCTCCATGACCAGGGTGCCGGTGGCAACGGTGAGAGGAGGAGACAAGGGACCAGGCCTGCCTGGTCTCCTGCCAGGTTTGGTTTAGGGAGAGGCATCGAAGATCTGTAACCAGCGCCCATCTCTGGGTCTCACTCCCCACCAGTTACACCTTCGGGACAGGCTCAGGGCTGGTGGGTAGCAGCCTGCTGCTATGGGATAGCTGTGGGGAGGGTGCGGCAGCGATTTGCACAGGGTCTCACAGAATTAGGGGTTTCTTTGGAGGCTGGGGACGGCCCTTCCTTTGCCCAGTGCTGACCAAGACCAGATCAGCACCTCCCCTGGAAACCCTCTCACCAGGCAATGTCCTAAAGGAGCTGAGTGACCCAGCTGGAGCCATCATTTACACCAGCCGCTTCCAGGTGGGTCTCATCCCGTGAAGTCTGGCTGTCTCCCTGTCCCTGCTAGTCCCAGCCGGCCCCACCCATCTGCCCCCTACTCCCAGCAAGATCATGAGACTTGGGAGCGGCCCCTAATCCTTCCCTTTCATCCTCCCACATGGATGTGCAGCTTGCGGACCCGACCTTGAATGCCCTGGAAATCTGGGGGGCCGAGTACCAGGAGTCGAATGCACTTCTGCTGAGGCCCCCCGACCGGGACTTCCTGAGTCGTGTCAGCGCCCGGGAACGCTGCCCAGTTTGCTTTGTGGGCACCATCACCGGAGACAGGAGAGTGAGTTTGTTTGGCCCGGGGAGTGGGTAGCAGGCACTGTGGGTGGGCTCGAGCCGCTTAGGTACTGGAGGGAGCTATCGCAGGACAGAGATGAGATGAGGGCGAGAGCTGTGGCACACACGCCGTGGGGAACAGCATGTAGGAGGTGGTAAGGGAGGGGCACTCAACAGATAAGCCAAACGAGGTGGAAAGAGTATTTCTGCCCTGCTTTCTAGAAGTATTTATTCCCTGCCAACTGTCATAGTCTCATTCTCTCTGGGTGGTGTCCCTGTGGTCTACAGATAGTGCTGGTGGATGATCGGGAATTTCCTGGGAAAAGAAGTGATGAGGGGGATGCACCCCCAACACCTCCCTCAAACCCTGTGGACCTGGACCTGGACTGGGTGCTGGGCAAGATGCCCCGGAAGGTATGTGGGGGCAGGCAGGGAGGCTGTGTTTCTCCCTTCTCTGGCCCAGCCCTTCAGACCACCCTCTACCCTCCGTGTGCTTTGTCACCTGTGCGCCTGGCGCTCCCCTGCGTGCTCACACCCCTGTTGCTGTCCGTGTTGCAGGAGTTCTTCCTCCAGAGGAGTCTTCCTGTGCTGCAGCCTCTGGCCTTGCCTGCAGGGCTGAGCGTGCGCCAGGCTCTGACGTGGGTTCTCAGGCTTCCTGCTGTGGCCAGCAAGCGCTACCTTACCAACAAGGTCCTCCCTGCACCCCAGCTCCACCCCCTGAGCCCTCTGCACCTCTCCCTCACCAGGGCTGGGGCAGCTACCCTGATGGCCTGGTCCCCTGCTGTCCACCCCCTGAGTCTTGTCTGCTCAGGGCAAGCCAGGCCTCCTCCCGCCCCCTTGTCCCTGTCCCTTGGCCTCTTGCCAACCCCTCTTACAGGTGGACCGCTCCGTGGGTGGCCTTGTGGCACAGCAGCAGTGTGTCGGACCCCTGCAGACCCCTCTGGCAGACGTGGCGGTTGTGGCACTGAGCCACCAGGCGCTCATAGGGGCTGCCACAGCCCTGGGAGAGCAGCCAGTCAAGAGCCTGCTGGACCCCAAGGCTGCTGCCCGGCTAGCCGTGGCTGAAGCTCTCACCAACCTGGTGTTTGCTCTGGTCACTGACCTCCGGGTGAGTCCCCTGCAGCTCCTGCCCTGGAGCCCCAGGCCTTTGGGATGCAACCACATCCACCATTTGCTTACCTCTCTGCCCCCAGACTCTGCACATCGCGCTCCCTCGCTAATGCCAAGTCTCTGCTGCTTTCTAGGATGTGAAATGCAGCGGGAACTGGATGTGGGCAGCTAAGCTCCCGGGGGAGGGTGCGGCTCTGGCCGATGCCTGTGAGGCTATGGTGGCAGTGATGGCGGCCCTGGGTGTGGCGGTGGATGGTGGCAAGGACTCCCTCAGCATGGCTGCCCGGGTTGGCTCTGAGACCGTGCGGGCTCCTGGTGAGGTCTGGGGGCCAACGGGAGAGGACCAGGCCTATGGGCCTGGGCTAGTGCCTCACTCCCTTTCTCCTTGCTTTGCAGGGTCGCTGGTTATCTCAGCCTATGCTGTCTGTCCAGACATCTCAGCCACTGTGACCCCAGACCTCAAGCATCCTAAAGAGAGAGGTATGGGTTCTTCCTCCTCCTCACTGCATTGTGTATGCAGAGCCTTGTCCTTAGTTTGGGGTCTGCTTTGTGAGTGCTGGGCCCCCTCATCTCAGCACTGGGGCTGTGGTGCTTTCTGGGGCTTGTGGTCTGGGTGTCTTGCCACATCCTGGAAACTTCAGTGCTCCTGAGCACAGTAAGGAGTGGGTCTCTGGGGCTGTCCATCTCCCCTCACCCCTTCCCTGTCTCCCCAGGCCATCTGCTCTATGTGCCTCTGAGTCCTGGGCAGCACCGGCTGGGGGGCACAGCTCTGGCCCAGTGCTTCTCCCAGCTTGGTGAGCAGCCTCCCGACCTGGACCTTCCCGAGAACTTGGTGCACGCCTTCAGCATCACCCAGGGGCTGCTGAAAGGTGAGTGAGGCGCTGGGGGAGACAGTCCCTGTGGCTGACACATGGCAGCATTCACCAGCTGAGCATGTGAGAGGGGCAAGAGGAATCCGGTGCCCTTTTCTCTGGTTCTCTGAGTGCCCGCATCCTCACACACAACCTCTGCCCACTGTCCAGAAGTGGGGCGGGGCCACCAGGTTTGGGTCCTGAGGTTGCTGAGCAATTTTCTCCTTCCTCCAGACCGCCTCCTCTGCTCAGGCCACGACGTCAGTGACGGGGGTCTCATCACCTGCCTGCTAGAGATGGCCTTTGCTGGGAATTGTGGGATAGAGGTGGACATACCTGCCCCTGGGGTCGATGGTGAGGAGCCTGGGGTCTAGATGCAGGCCCCACCCTGTGGACTCCAGGTCCTTTTAAAGAATGGCATGTCCCCAGCCCCTTTTCCCTGGAGTCCCTTGCTGTCTTCTCTGACCACTGAGCCAGGTGACACCCGTTTCTGACTGAACCCCTCTGAGACCTCCCGCAGACCCTGATGCTGCATCCTCATCCTTGCTCTCCCAGGCCACACCTCATCCCCGCATCCCTGATCCCTGCCTTTGCTCCTCTAGCACCAACCCCTCCCCTCGACTGCACCTGAGTCCCTGGCAGTACCCTAGTCACTTAATGCCCCCATTGCTCTCTCAGCACTGCCTGTGCTGTTTGCTGAGGAGCCAGGCCTGGTGCTGGAGGTGCAGAAGCCAGATGTGGCCCAAGTGCTGACTCGTTACTGGGATGCCGGCCTCCACTGCCTGGAGCTGGGCCGCACGGGCGATGCCGGGCCCCACGCCACGGTGAGGAAGTAAAGAGGAACGGCCGGCCCACAGAGGGGAGGCCATGGTTCACCTCTACCAGCGTTGGAGGAGGCCCAGGTTGCACATCCTCGATCTCAGCCCCTGAAAGATTTGCACTTCCCTCTAGGTCCGGGTATCAGTGAACGGCGCTGTGGTTCTGGAGGAGCCTGTCGCGCAGCTCCGAGCCCTCTGGGAGGAGACCAGTTTCCAGCTGGACCGGCTGCAGGCAGAGCCACACTGTGTGGCAGAGGAAGAACAGGGGCTGAGGGAGCGGACAGGGCCCACCTTCTGCCTGCCCCCTACCTTCCCCAAAGCTTCTGTGCCTCACGAGCCTGGTAAGGGAGTGTGTGCAGGGGCTTGGCTTCCTGCGCCCTTTGGGCCTGGGTTTGGAGCCCAAGGCTTGGATGCCAGGCCTGCCTTGGAAAAGGTGTCTGGGGGGCTTGGGTGGGGAAGTAGTCTCCTAGCACAATGACATTCTTTCTCCCCCCAGGTGGCCCTACCCCCCGAGTCGCCATTTTTCGAGAAGAGGGCAGTAATGGAGACCGGGAGATGGCCGATGCCTTCCACTTGGCTGGGTTTGAGGTGAGCAGGGTGCCTGGCAGAGCTGGGGCTGGGCCTCTGAACGTTTGCCATCTGACACTTCCCTCCCCCATCCTGCCAGGTGTGGGATGTGACCATGCAGGACCTTTCCTCTGGAGCAATCAGGCTGGACACATTCCGTGGGGTGGCCTTTGTGGGCGGCTTTAGCTATGCGGATGTCCTTGGCTCTGCTAAAGGTGAGTGTGCCGGCTTCTGACCGCTCATTCCTGAAGAGGTACCTTAACTCCCTTCGTCCTTGCCTGAGAACGGGCTTCTCACCTCCATGAGGTTGGCCAGTGGGGCGTGAGTGCATTCATTCTGGGCCAGATGCCAGCAGAAGGCCTGCAGGTAGCTAAAGTGAGGTAGGTGGGCTGGGTGGTGCCGTGCCAACCTGGAGGGCACATGCCCTGTTGGAAACAGCAGCTGCTACTCCGCTCCAGCAGATTGTCCTGTTGGAAAGCTGGCTCAGCATGGCCAGATCTTTCTGTTTTTCAAGAGAAGCCAAAAAATCCCAATTTTTTATGTAAAATCTTACTTTTAAAATTAGGTAACTAAATTAAAAATTTTGAAAATGCTCTGCTGGCTAAGCAGAAAGCTTGTTATGGGCCATCTCTGGCCCAGGAGTTGGCTACGTCTGTTTCAAGCAAGTAAACCTGTTTCTCCCCTGGCATTTGCCCTGAGCTTGGGCGAGGGGAGGGTCCTGGGATTGTGTAACAGGGAAAAACAGCTGTTGCCCTTCCTTCCAGGTCTCACCCCAGCTTCCTTGTTCCTCCTAGGGTGGGCAGCTGCTGTGACGTTTAACCCACAGGCTGGGGCTGAGCTGAGGCGCTTCCGGCAGCGGCCAGACACCTTCAGCCTGGGCGTGTGTAACGGCTGTCAGCTGCTGGCTCTGCTGGGCTGGGTGGGAGGCAGTCCCAGTGAGGAGGCAGCAGAGACGGGCCATGATTCCTGGCCAGCCCGGCCCGGCCTCCTGCTGCGCCACAACGTGTCTGGGCGTTACGAGTCTCGCTGGTCCAGCGTGCGTGTGGGCCCCGGGCCCGCCCTGATGCTGCGAGGGATGGAGGGTGCTGTGCTGCCTGTGTGGAGCGCTCATGGGGAAGGTCAGGCTCTGGGAAGGCAAGGCCAGGGGAGGGCCTGAGGACAAAGGCAAGTGGTCAGCATGAAGGCACTTTGATCTCATGTCCCTCCTTCCACCCCAGGTTACATGGCGTTTTCTTCTCCAGAACTCCAAGCCCAGATGGAGGCCAGGGGCTTGGCCCCACTGCACTGGGCAGACGATGACGGGAACCCCACAGAGCAGTACCCCCTGAATCCCAATGGGTCTCCAGGGGGTGTGGCTGGTGTCTGCTCCCCTGATGGCCGCCACCTGGCTCTCATGCCTCACCCTGAGCGGTCTGTGAGGCCTTGGCAGTGGGCATGGCGACCCCCTCCATTTGACACTCTGACTACCTCCCCCTGGCTCCAGCTCTTCATCAATGCCCGAAACTGGACCCGGGAAGGAAGCTGCTGAGCAGGCCGGCGATGCTCCCCTGGGTCCCATGGTTGGTACTCGGGGTATCTGCTGCCCTCTCCCCCATTATCCTTAGAAGTACCCTGTATTACTTCCAAATGTGTTAGATAAGGACCAAATGCCAAAAAAACCTCAGCCAGTTTTATTAATCTGCCTTGCTTTTGCCTTATGCTGTTGGATCTGTTTTCAGTTCTGCTCTAACATGTTTTGTCCTTTGTGGGCCTGGGGAAGCAGCAGGTGGTTCAGAGAAGACACCCTGCGGTGGGCAGTTGGGATGCATGGGGTGTGGGGGTTCCATTGTCCCCCTTCACTGCACCGCGTCACTCATGTCACTTATCTGGGCTCGGAGGGATGTCTTAGGCCCTCCTTCCTCATTGCTGGGGTTTAGGGGATGAGGGTGTACAAAAGCATGCAAGTCAGGACCTCAGTGTTCTCATTTGAAAAGCAGCAGAAACTTTCTGGATTCTTCTTTTTAAAGGCAGTGCTGTGCTAAGTGTAGGCAGTTGTTGGCAGCTTGTCTGACAGTGTCTCCAGCTATGTCCCAGGGCTGCCCCCGAGCTGGCCTCTGAACTCAGGTTCCTGAGTTTTACTCCTGATTAGCAGCCCCCCGACCCAAAGCAGTGGTCAGCACCCTCACCCCTAGCACTGGGCCTTTAGTGTTCGTTCATTCATTCATTCATTCCATCAGTGTTTGATGATTAGCTGCAGTGCCAAGCAGTGTCACTGTCGCCAGGGAGGTTATTGTCTAATAGAATTTAAAATAACATTTTAAATAAGATCTGTGTATGACACCTACCGTGAACTGGGCATGTGCTAGGCATTTTATATGTATCGAAATTATTTCTCCTAAGAGTTCAGCAAGGTACTTGATACCCTCCTCCCCACTCTTATTTTTTTTCTTTTTTAAACAAAAGGAGAATTAAGGTTAACTAGATTGCCCAGGGTCACACAACTTGTGAAGGGACGAGCTGGGAGGCCTTGCTCAGTCCTGCTACATCTGCTTCCTGTCATCCTGCAGTCACAGTCGTGGAGAGAGCATCGTCAGGACTTCTCACTGACAGCTGTCCTTGCTTCCTTTGCTCACAGGAGTGTGTGGAGGCCACTTCCTCCTGACAGTCGTGTTGTGCGGCTCAAGTCAGTCTGCCCCCTAAATAGCTCAACATCTTGATTAAAGAAATTCCCTGAGAAGGGAGACTGGAATCTCAGATCCCTGAGGACATTGGGCCTGGCGGGGAAGGGGGAGGCCCCACACCGTGCTCCTGGTAGAACAGCCAAAGGAGAGACTGATCATGAAGAAACAGTGTTAAATTTCAGCTATGGAGAAAATAACTGGATTGTTTTCTTATTGCTTTGCAAACTCACTTACCCTGAACAGTGTGGGGCTAGTAGGTCATTTCTGGTATTTGAATTTTCCTTCATGGTGCTGGGAAGCAACGTATATATATAATCAGATAATCTCAAATTGACAATTTTGAGGACTGATCCCAGGGCTGGGATGTCAAGTTTACAAGCACTTGATGCAAAGGTAGCAGGATGGTATGTGAAGTAACCTGCTGATTGGCTGTGGTAGATGAATTCATACACTTTGGAGATGGAGCAGTTTCTGGTTTAGATCACCCTGGCCAAGCAAGACCCACCCTCGGACACTGCCAAGACCAAGTCAGCTCAGCTTCTCATCCTTGTTTTTATCTAGTAGCCACACACCACCCTTTCCTTGCTGGTCCCTGACCCAGCTCCTATCTCCCCATCCCTCCCAAAAGCCCCTCCTGGTGGTGGCTTTTATTCTCAAAGCTCATCTTATCTTCCTCAGGCCAGGGAGTTGGGGTTTGGGTCCCCTCCGTACCACTCCCAGATTATTCTCCACCCTCTTTGAAGAAAATCTTGCCCGTTTTAGGTTCATACCATCCTGTATCACCTTCATCCCGTACTTTGTGTTCTGCTGACTTCCCCATCACTTGGGATGCCAGTCGTTCCCAATATCTGATTCCCCTTTCTAGAAACAGGACCTCTCAGTACTTTAGCAGGGGTCGTGGCTACTCGAAATAAAGATGACATCTCCCAGTGTCCCTAATAGCTCTGACTAAATTTTGACCAATAAAAGAGAAAATGATGTATACAACTTCTGAGTGTCCTTAAAGGAAGGGATGTATGCTTCTCTTCATCCAGTCTTGCTTCCTGCTACCTGGATTGAAGACATGATGGCTAGAACTGCAGCATTATTTTGGACGATGAGTTGGCTTTGGGGCACTAGCACCATGCAGAGTAGAGTAATAAGATAGGAGACTGGGTTTCTTGACACTGAGGAGTATGGACAAGCCCTGAACAGGCTATCACTGGATATCTTAAATTTCTGTCTTGTTTAAGCCCTATTTTGATGTTTTCTGTTCCTTGTAGTCAAATCTTATCCTATTCAACCCTTCCTAACTCCCCCTCATTATTCAAGGGCATTGCTCCCTGGTTCATATTCTTGCTTTCCACCTCAGTCCCTTCCATTATCCTGATCCATGTTAATAACCATATAACAAAATGATCTTTTCTTCAATGACTTCCTCCGTTCACCTCAGCCCTGAAATGTTGTCATCACCCCAGATCTTCTTCACTTCACACTCATTTATTTGAGCACCCTACCTCTGACCTTAACCTCGCTTCCTTCCACTTTGCATCTTCATCTTCAGTACTCATCTCAAAGTCATCAGGACCTCCAGCTCAATAGCAACTTACCCCCAATCCATTTCTTCTCTCTTCTTCCCTCTTATCTAGCCTCCAGTAATAGCCTTTCCAGTGCCCTTCAACTTGACCCAGTATCTTTTCATCATTCCCATTTGACTAAATCCTAACCCATCAGCTTTCTCTGAGAGAGCCAGACAACAGGGCAGATTGTCTCATTATCAATTCATCATTACCCACCTATGAGGGAAATGGGGAATGGGAATGAGAAACAGATCAAATGTAATAAGAGGGCACTCAAGTGGAGCCATGATAGTAATGTACCATGAACTAAAGGGGTAAGATGACCTCAGCTCACTACACCCAAGGTCTAAAGCAAAACCATTTACAATAACATCCAAATCTAAGTCCTGCCCTCTCTCTGGGTCTCATCAGTCAACAGCTCTTGGATCAAATTCTTTGTAGGACGCTGAAGGCTCTCAGAGCAGCATCACATGCCTCTCTTTCCAGCCCAAGTCACTGTTGTAGTTTTTTTCATCACTGCAGTCTTGCTCTGAGCTATGTGTTTCTTTGATCAGAGAGCTGTCTCCTCAGTGGAGTGTAAACTCAATGAGAGCAGGGACTCCACTTTTGCCTTCCACTGTAGCCTATCTCCTAGCGTGGTGCCTGTCACCTACCAGATGCTCCATAAATATATATTTAACAAATGAATGAATCTGAATGTTAAAATTAGTAAAGGTTGATACACCTTTTTTTTTCCTTAATAGAAGAGTGAACTTAGTGAACTGGGATCGTGGGTGGCTTTGCTTTGCAGTTCCTCTCAGGCGTTTCCCCTTTTTACTTCATTTCTCCAGTATGCAAAATACTCAGTTTCAAGCCCTGTCATCATTTCAAGTGAATGACACTATGTATGTGTTGGGGTGGGGGTGGGAAGACAGGAAGAACCAGTAAGTCTTGCCTCTGTCTTAACACTTGCCTGGCAGCCAAAAGGGACCTTCAATTTCACAGAAAAAGACACAGCACTGAACTGAGCATGTGTTCATCCCCTGTCAGCGCAAAGTGTGCTGGAAGGAAGGCTCCAGCAGGACCAGGCACAGAGGGGAGGAAGTGTGTACAGGGATCTGGATGGGACACCCCCACCCCCGCAAGAAGGCCACTTTCTCCAGAGAGGCTCCCAGCCTCTCCAATAATAGGCCAACCCACACCTGAGCATCCCTCCAAAGAGTGCCTGAGACACCCGCCCAAACCTAGATGTGGACAAGGGGGATAGAAAGGAAAAAAGGTGGTCATCAGACAATGAGCCTATGGGAGGAGAATGTCTCCCACAGCAGCTGAGTCTTCAGAGGCCCAGGGTCCCACAAGCTCTATTTCCCCAGCACCTGCTGCATTCAAGACCTGGAAGCAGAAATCAAAGGAATCCTCAGCCTGTCATTATATGCTAGGGGGCACCAAACAGCCAGAGAATGGAGCCTCGTGCACTGCTGTGGAGGGACTTCTGGCTTCAGGAAAGACCCTCTTGTGTGAGCAAACTGCTAGGAGTGCTGGGGATTCTGGGCTGTTTTGCCCCCAGGAGGGGTGGCTTTGTGCAGCTTCATCTCCCTAGTCTGGCTGGAGGAGTGGCCCATGGCTACAGATTGGAACCAAGTGTATGAAACAGAGCCCCACTCAATCTGTCACTAAGGTAAGAAAATTGTCAAGGGTCTCCTCCCAGGGCAGGCACACATGAGAAGGGAGACAAATCCTGAAATAAACAACTTCGAAGAAGTATGCTTTAGCGGAAGCTGGGGTACAGGTGGGAGCTCACCGCAGGGGATGTGGCCCAGACTCCGGATCAGGGAAGGAGTCTCAGGATTAGCTGAGTCCTGTGGGAAGAGTAGAAGCTTGTTACAGGAGAGGGCAGGGAGGGCACTCTAGGAAAGTAGACGATATTTGCAAAGCCTCGGAGGTGAGCAACAAGGTGAGTGAGAGAACTAAACAAAGGTGAGTCTGTCTGGAACATTAACTACATTAGGAAACAGGACAAGCTCAGTTAAAGGCTTAACAGAGCATGTCAAAGAGCCTGAACTTTATCCTTAGAGCAATAAGAAACCACTGAAGGGGTTTATATGGGGGGAAGACATGATCACTCCACTGCAGAGGACAAAGACAGGAGAGGATGTGGGGAGTCCAGTAAGAGGGTTTTCAATTCTCCTGGCAGAAATAATGCTGGCCAGGACTAGGGTGATGGCAGAAAGAAATGGAAGGATTCAAGAATCACCAGGAACTGGATGTGAGGGGAGAAGCAGAGAGAGGAACCAGTAATGAAGCCCAGACTTCTTGCTTGGACCGCTGGGCAGGTGATTATTTCATTAACTGTGGTAGCAACACAGGAGATGGTATGTATATGGGAGGAAGATGAGGTGCTTTGCTTAGGACTTGTTGAGTTTGAAGTGACAGTGGGACAGGAAAATGGAGGCATCCATCTGGTCGTCAGAAGAGATCTGGGATGGAAATGGAGATTTGGGAGGTACTAGTCTATGTGTGGAGAAGATTATCTAGGAGGGATGAGTGGAGCCTGGTAAGCAGCGTTGAAGAGGTTGGCAGAAAAAGAGGAGACTGAGGAAGAATGGCATCACTAACCTTACAGCTTAACCATCTGAGTGACTTCCCACTGCCCAAGTCATTGGAGTATCCTGGGATGCCCTTGGGAGAGTATCCTGGGTTGCCCCTGGGAGGGTATCCAGGGCAACAGAAGGGACTAGGCAGTCAGCCTGTTCTCCTCCCCACTGAGTCCTAGTTTGCTGGCCCCATCTTCACAGTGAGGCAAACTCTTCTCTCCCTTAGATCTTTTCCCAGCGTAGTACAGACAGCCATCCCCACTCCCACACACCTCACCTGGAGAAGTTTACGAGGACATGGCTAAGCTAAACGAAGCAGATGAAAAGAGGTAAATTATGTGGTACCTGGGAGGCTAGGACCCTGCAGATTCCCAGTGGCACCTTGTAGGAGGTTCCAAAGGAAGGAGCAGGGGGTATCCCCACTGGGTTTAAGACACAGGGATCCTGGCCCAAGGAAACCCCTTCTCATCCTTGAGGATGTGATGGGCCTCCTCCTGCCACTTCTAGAATATATGCTGAGAAACAAATGTGAGATGCAGGAGGGCAGGTGTCTTTTAAGGAGTCAAAACTAACAGTTGCCAGAACCTAGTTGGAAGAATGTATAACTCATTCTGAGTGTGGCGGGGATGTGTGTATCTCACTAGCTCCAGATGCTGGGTCCTTATGAAGAAATGGTACCGAACACTGACATATGGTGCAGTCATCCCTGCTTCACTGGCTCATGATAATCCCGTAGTGAAGAGGAATGAATGGCAGAATTCTACTGTTGGGGAGAGGGGGACAGAAGGTAAAGTGCCCGTATTGTGACTTGAGGGCAAGAACAGATGCCCTCTCTCCTCTGTGCCCTATCCACAGCCAAACCCTTCATCAGAAGCCCTATGTCTGTCATTGGTGTCTCCATTCTTCTTGACCAGGCCTCCATCTTCATTCTTCCCCTGCACTTTGGGGATCATCCATATTATTGCTTCCCTTGCTTTTTGCTTATCTGGCTTCATCTCTTCCTCTCCTACCTCTACGAGCTTAGTGCAGACCCTCATCTAGCTTAGTGGAATGACCTGTTATTCCATTTCACCTCCAACTGGTCTAACACCAACTGGATGTACTACAATAAAATTCTTTTTTTTATTATTATTCTTTTTCATATTCTTTTTTTTTAATTGAAGTGTAGTCAATTTACAGTGTTGTGCAGTTCTGGTTCTTAATTTTGATAATTGTATTTAAATAGTTTAATTTGCCTTGAATTCCTATATATTTTATTTTATGAATTTAAAACCATCATTCTGAGTAGGGGTCCGTGAGCTTCACTTAGCTGCCAAGGGGGTGCATGGGAGCAAAAAAGGTTAAAAACCCCTGCTTGATAGAAATATATATTGCCCAAAGGGATGCTTGACTTGGATGTTGACTTAGATATCTCTCTGGTTCAAGTCCATCACTTCCACCTCTTGGTGCCCTCAAAAGTGGTAGGGTGGGGGCTCTGGGACAGCAGTCTCCCCAAAGCAAAAAAAAA